GATGGACACAGGCCGCGGCGGCGTGGACAGCGAGCCCTGCTCAAAATGAACCAGATCCGCTGTTGGGCATTGCACCCGTTCTTTCAGTACCCATTTCGTGCGTGCAAAGAGTCGGAGGTGGGCAGGCATCCCACCCTGACACTAGGGGAACAAAAAGTGGCATAAACATAAAAACATTGGAGGTCCGCGCGGATTTCTCGGATCGGCGCTGCCGGCGCTGCCCCTGGGGCGCTCCGGCGAGGGCTGCTAAAACCGTGGCTGCTAAAACGGCCCTCCTAAAACCGTAGCTTCCCGGAATGAGGCGCGGCACGCGAAACGGTCAGCGGGCTTCTTCCCGGAAGGACGAAGACAATTTCCTGGAGGTCGATTTTATCGCAGCCACGGATTTAGCAGACCTTGCCCGGCTTCCGACCAGAGTCGGAGGTGGGCAGGCCTCCCACCCTGACACGTCGGTTAAGGAGTTGGCCGTTGTCGGTTCGCGAGAGGGCGTCGCGGCCGTCCTCTTTTTTGCGGGTCCGGGTCCGTCGATTTCGGTCCCCCGGGCCGCTTTCACTGAGGGGAGGTTTACTACAGGGAGGCCCCAAAGGGATCGCCGACCCCCTTTGGGTGATTTTGCCGGGTGGCTTTTGGGTCAAATCGCCCGACCGCCGCGTGATTTCTCTAGTGGGAGGAGCTTGCCCTCGCGTCGGCACCCGCCTCGCGTGGTGACGCTCGCGTCGCAGCGCGCCCCGGGCGGCGTCGCGCCCTTTCTCCGAGCAGGGTGGAGCGCCTCTCGCGGCCCAGGCTCGGCCCGTCGCTGCAACGGTCCGGCGTCGGTGGAACGGCCGATCGTGCAAGTTCGAACCGACCCTGCAGACATGGTCGCGTCGTAACAGACATCGGGGCCGGAGGCTGTTGCTGTTTCCGGCCCCTGCCTGGGGCCCCTCGCCTGGCCTGGGGACCGCCAACAAGTGGCTCGGGAGGAACAGTTGGCCCCCGGCCGGGAAAGGGTCGGGATTTCTGGGGACGCCGTCCTGAAAAAATCCGGACGTCGCATGTCCGGGACGATCCCCGCGGTCAGGACCCAACGCGGGGGGTCGACACGACGCGAACTTGTCGTACCCTTAGGTCGGCCATGTCCCTCAACAGGGGGATTTTGGACGAGAAAAATAAAAGGTAGCCGACAGATACAAAAAAACAAAAAATACAACGTTTGATTATTCCTCCTGTTGGGGGACACGCGCGACTTAATTTACGAGTGGCCTCGGGGACGCGAATATTGCAGAATTTACAAAAGAATTATGGCTTCGGGGACGCGAATATCGCGTAATTTAAAAGGGTGTATGGCCTCGGGGACGCGAATATTGCGTAATGTACAGAAGATGGTGGTCTCGGGGACGCAAACATCAAGTATTTTTACATGTCCCACGCCCCCCCAGGAATTTAGACAACGCGATTTGTGCGTGGTAAAACAGCTGGTTTGGGGCTCCCCCCACTCACGCGTTCAGCAACAGTTCACACTGAGGCAGGACTTCAGCAGTGGAAACTGGAAGCTGCCACGGGCACAGGGAGCTGCAATCCTCACCCTCGTAGCCCGGTGGCCCCGCAAGGGGGCCGGCGGATTCTTTCAGATTCCTCCTGTAGGGGGGCACGCCCGACTTCAGCCTTACCCCCCTTCTCGACTAGACGCAAGAGTGACCTTTCGCCGGAGCGACCCTTTGGTGCGGGCACAGACGGGCGCTCAAAAATGGCCGAAAACGAAGCGGCAGCAGCGGCTTGCGCGCCCAGGTCTGGCCTCCCCGCGGCCCCCAGCAAGCCGCGCGCCGAAGGTCGCTCTTTTTGCCCAGGGCCACTCCTCTCTGCGTGTGGCCGACCCTCCTCTCCTCCGCCGCGCCGCGTCGGCCGCAGGAGCGTCGCCCGCCGCGCCACGGCCTCCCTCCGCCGCCCGAGCCCCGGCTCGAGGCCTCCCGCGCCAGGGCTCCCGCGGTGGGTCCCGCGGCGGGGCTGCGCGCGGGGGCCTCGCCGCCGCGCGGGAGAGCCGGCGGCCAGCCTCGCCCTCCTCTTCTGGTTGACCCCAAAGGGGGCGAGAGCCTGCTGCTTCGCGTGAGCCGGGGCGCCCTCCGAGGGCGCGAAGGTATTCGCGCTTCGCGGTTCGGCTCCGATTCCTCATCCTCCTCGTCCCCCTTGGGGGGCGGCGGGAGATGTCAATGGGTGGAGGATGAGTTGGATCCGTCAGTGGGCCAGTCCTGTGTACGGACGCAGAAGCTGTGAGGCTTCTCTTTGGCAGCGGGCCAGCTTATGATGCCAACCCATGCCCACCCCGTCCCGTCTCCAGGGACTTCGCATCCCCTTTATTATGGTGGTGCAATAGATCGGGTGCCATAGAGTTGTGGGTTGCAATAGATTAGGGGGGTGCAGTAAATTCCGGGGCGCAAATGTGCTGTTGGACTTTCGCGGGCAAAACATCAGTTGCACTACACTGCAATGAAGTTCTCCGGCGCCATACATGTGCAATGCAATTGCCCCAAATCTATTGCACCTCCCCCTTTCATCTGGACCCCTTTTCGGGTCAACCAAATCTTAGCCCAGACTCCCTCGCGTCTTGAAAAAATCGCGACGGAAGGTTTTTCGCTATTTTCGGCTTTGGGGGGCCCTCACCAGGCCTCGGGAACGTCAAAAATCGACTCGGGATGAAAAACCAGTCCCGGGGGAGGGGTCCAGACCTCTGGGGGTCGACGCTGTGACAAAAAAACGCAACGTGAGCGGTCTGGGTCTACTCCTTCTTTTCCTCGCCCTCTTCACAGAGAGAGTGTTTTGTGAAGGGCCTGGGCCATAACGAACGCTACGAGCTGTGATCCCCTTCCCTAGTCGAATCGACGATCGAAAGTAATCGGATCAGCGGAAATCGACGACCAAGCCGGGAGGAGTCGAATCGGCGGAAATCGGCAGAGTTAGTAAGGCCTCACTGAGGCAGGAGGAGAAGGAGGAGGAGGAAGACGAGGAGGAGGAGGAGGAGGAGGAGGAGGATCGGAATCCCAATCGTAATCCGAAGTCGAATCGAATCGGAATCCGAATCCATCGAAGCCGGATCGAAGCGGAGGAATCGAAGCGAGCCCTGCCCATGGCGCACCGCTCCGCCCCCCGCAGGCACTGTGCCCCCCCCCGCGCTGCCGAACTGTGCACGCGGTCCGTCCCCGGCCCCCTGTGGTAAGATGGGTGCGGCTGTACAGTGGCGCCATGCGTGGTGCTCGCAGGCCACGCGTGGTGCTTGCGGGCTGCTGCCGGGTAGAGCCAGGACCCCAGGCAAGGGGGCCCCGTCAGGAACCGCAGAGGGTCTTCCATGATGCTCCCCCCCCCCCAAAGCTCTCGGCGGGGAATAGGAACTCGTCCCTCCTCCTCCTTCCCCTCCTTCTCCCCCCCGTGCGGTGGTGTGTCGGAGAGGAGGAGGAGGAGGAGGAGAAGGAGGAGGAGGAGGAGGCCGCCAGGCGTTGAGCGATGAGATGTTTGAGCACTTCTCTTGACCTCTCAAGCCTCCGCGCTGAGAGTTGCTGTGGCCGCCGACGGGGAATAATCAATTTCCACATATTGTTTGGGTCCCAATCCGTCAATAAGCCCGCGGAACAATTAATTAGTTTCCCGTTATTGCCCGGGGGTTATTAAAGACCCTTTGGGGTTAGCAGGGCCTGGAATCCTACAAGTGGCCAGAACCATTACACTAGGTCTGCCGTAGCCGTTGTTTTTGTTCGGGTGACGGCAGTTCCGGTCAGTAGAACGGGGCTGTAGGGGGGGGGGGGGGGCAGTACACATCTTTAAACCAGGTATCACTAAACCCAGCTTTGCCAACGCCCGATACTGTGGTGTTCACGGGCTTGTTCGGTAAGTATTCATGGAAGTCTGGCGTACTCTGTTAATTCAGTTTTTTGCGTCGACTAGCGTCGATTAGCGTTTGGGAGTCGATGAGATAGCGCCGATTCAGCGTCTGCTAGTGTCGATTAGCGTCGATTCAGCGTCGATTAGCGTCGACTAGCGTCGATTAGCGTCGATTCGCAAGAGTCGACGAGATGGTATGGAAGGCTCCCATGAGTTGCCACCTAAGGCTTGTGATCGCAGACATGTTGAGATAATCACATTGCGATGCTCGCCGGTTGCTGTGACTCTTACAGGGTCTGGCACGCTGCTGCGCATGGGTGTGGCGACCCCTGGTTGCTAAGGCTCTGCGAGGGTATGGGTTGTCTTCGCCAAGTCGTCTGAAGCGTTGCCGCGCCGGAACACCTCCAGTTCGCGCCAGACCAACAAACAAGTTGCGCCACAATTGGTTATGATATTCTAGGAGCGGCATTGCTGCATTCAGTTTGAAGGAGGAGAAGGAGGATAATGAAAGGGGATAGGAAATGATAATCATGACAATATGTTGAGTGGCGCGCGCACGCGCAATGAGGTCAGATAGTTCATCACACTCAAAAGCAGGTCCACTTCCCACTCAACTGTGATTACAACTCCAAAGCAGATCCTCTCCAGCCGTGATTAAGTCACACTGCCCTCGGTAGAACTAACAAGATGCAATGTTATGTTTTTCTGCTGCACCATTCAGTCACATTCCCCTTTCAGCAAGGATCTTTTACGGCTTCAGGCGAGTAGAACTCAACCATGTTGCCCCTTAGGTTTCCTTCCCGTTCGCCTTGTGCCGAGCACCAACGAAACCCCACCTTTTCAAACATTGTTCGATCACATTGGAGGTGCCCAGGGGCTCAGAGCACCATTCCTGGGCAGACATTCGCATGCCGTGGTCTCCTCAGTGTAGACAACAGGCATAAGACAAGACAGGATGCAGGACAAGGTGCATATGATAAGAAACACATCGGCAAGACAGCAGTCCGGCAACACTTTCACAATATTGGTGCCCCATGAGGGCTTGGGAATACCTTTGCCCGCATGCAGACAGACAGAGAGACACTCTCCAGCCTCAACCATCTCACTCTCACTAGAGTGCGTTCTGCTCGACCGGGGGTAGCCTATCCTGGATGACGCTGCACGGTGAGTATGGCAACATTGCCTTGCTGCTGATCCTCTACACGTTGCAGGGCATACCTATGGGGCTATCTGGCTTCATGACCATGGAGATCAAAGATATATTCAAGGACTCGTTCTCCGAGATGGGCACTTTCTCGCTCGCGACTTGGCCATTCAGCCTCAAGCTGCTCTGGGCTCCCATCGTGGACAGCGTCTACTCGGAGAGCTTCGGTCGCCGGAAGACGTGGATGGTGCCCGCCCAGATTGCCATCGCGGGGGCAACGATAGGGGGGTATAGGCATAGGGGGGATGCATCGACACCCAATCGCCCATTGATCGCCGATAGGGGCCCGATAGCCCCAACCTGCCCAGGAAGATGCGGCTTCACTATCGGGGGCCTATCGCCGACCTATCAGCGGTGTATCGCCGATTCCAGGTCGATGCATCCCTCCCTAAGCCTATCCCCCCCTTATCGTTGCCCCTCACCATCGGGATAATCCTCCTCTACATGGCTCAGAGCGTGGAGGGAATGGTTCAGGCCAGAGACGTGTACTCCCTCACGCTGGTTTTTTTTTTGTTGTACCTGATGTGCGCAACGCAGGATATTGCCGTGGACGGGTGGGCGTTGACGATGCTGCGGACCGAGAACGCAGGCTACGCATCCACGTGCAACTCGGTCGGTCAGACATTTGGTTTTGCCATTGGCTTTATGATTCCAATGGCCAAGCTGGTCTCACTGCCGAGCTTCCTGATGTTCTGGGGGACCCTGTTCATCGGGACGACGCTGGCGGTGTGGCTTCTCAGGTCTGAGGAACCTACCCCAACGGACGAGCAGATAGAAGGGCCCCAGGAGGCATACAGCACCGCATTGAAGGTGGCCCGGTGCCCCCCAGTGATGTGGCTAACCCTTCACTTGCTCACGCGTTCGTTAACCTTCATCCCAGCCGACGTGATGGCGTTGGGGCGATTGCAGGACATGGGCTTCCCCAAGGAAGCCATTGCCAAGATCAAGCTTGTCACGACGCCACTGGATCTCCTACCCGCTTGCGCTACTCCGCCAACTTCGAAGGGGAGGTGAAGACTTCCTCCTCGAAAAGGATTTCGGATCCCTCCTCCACTTTCTCTTCATTCTCCTCCCCTTACCCCTCCCCCAGAAGAGGTGGAGCAGGGACCAGGGAATGGCCAAGCATTTCACACGCCATACCACCCTCCGCGAGGCAAAGTATAGCAGGAGGAGTAGGAGGAGGAGTGCTGGCTGACCGCGCAGTCGAGCGCCGGAGCCACACACAGGGAGGAGAGGGAGGAGAAGGAGGAGGAAGACAGCGCAAGGGTCTGCGGATGCTGCTCCCATGGGTGCTGTCTGGCATCACGGCGGGCCCCAGGCCCCTGTCTCTGGTCGTCTGGCTGTACCTGCCTCGCACCGCGCTGACACTGATAGCGGGAGGCATCGGGGATGACGGGGATGAGGAGGGAGCAGGAAGGAGGAGGGAGGAAGAAGGAGGGATGAGGTGGGATGAAGAAGGAGGGTGAGAAGAGTGAGGAAGAGGGACGAAGAGGCAGGAGCACAGAGAAGAGGATGAGAATAGGAAGAGTAAGTAAGAAGAGGACCGAGTAGAACGAGTAAGAACATAGGAACGAAGAGTAAGTAAAGAAGAGGGACGAGTAGGAAGGGATGAAGGCTTTACCATGGTCCTCGGAAACATCCCCCAGCCGGTCCCGACGGTGACTTACGCCGCAGTTGCTGGTCTGGTGGTCTTGCAGACTTGCCTCTCGACCACCATTTTCGTTGCGCACATGGCCTTCTTCGCTCGCGTTAGTGATCCAGCCGTCGGCGGCACCTATATGACTTTGCTGAACACCCTCCACAACCTGGGCTCCATGTGGGCATCCAATGTTTGCCTGAGCGCCGCCGATATGATCAAGGAGCGCACAGGCTACGATGGCTTCCACGTCCTCTGCGTGGCCTGCTCCGTCTACGGCTGCATATGGTCATGGGGTGTGATAGCCGTGAAAATGGATAATGTGTCCCCAGCTGCATACCAACCACAAGTATGCGGTAAGTGACCCAGAACCTGGGACCTATTGAATGCGTGTTCGAACTAAACTATGGTGACAAGGGCCATGAAACGGGACGGTGCTTCCCCAAGGTAGGTTTTGCCTCAGGGCGCCGATTTGGTTCTTGAATAGAGAACCGATGGCAATCGATTGCACCCATCGAGCACCTCAAGAAAACGCGTCAATTTTCATCGACTCCAGATTCCGCTATAGAGAATCAAACATCTGGACTGGACCCTGGGCGCTTTCTTGGAGCTTGTTTTATCTTCGAGCTGTCGTATCTCTGGACCTGGACTGCTGTTGAAGAAAACGCTTGGAGGAAAGGCTTGTTTTCTGAGCGAAAATTTGTTTCAAGTATAAGCAGGGGTGTACACAGACCAGGCTTATTGAGGATGCCCCTGCCCTGTGGTTCTTTGAGGATGTCCGCCACACCTCCATTCCCCGAGGGCCCCTCTGACATATTGCGCGATCCGATGTCAGCAATGCCGCAGACAAGCACATGTCCTGCAAACGCCATGAGTGCACTGCCACAGCAGTGTGACGCAAAGCAGGGCAGCAACATACTGCGAGGCAGCGCATATCATAACAATGCGAATTCATGCACCATGCAGAACGGCACAGTACAATGCGCAGCGCTGCTATGCGCCGCGCAGCAAATCAAAACAATGTGATGTATGCTAAAGCGGTGCACAGCAGAGAGACCCCGTTATATCGAGGTTTACGTGTCGTAAGCTCAGACGGAATTGCCACGCAGTGCAATTCAATGATTGGGGCGTGCCAGGCTCGGCTTCAAGCAGTGCGTGAGGAAGATGGCGTAGGTTTTCAGTAGTGCACTATGCAATTACCCGTAGTCGTCGATGACCTCTGACGCGTTGATACTGTTCCAGGCGTGGCCCGAAATTTCATTTCACGACGTGCGGTTTTGAGCTGGACCAGAGTGGCCGCACCCATCAGCAAGTCGTTTCTTTTTGGTGGGGGAGGGCACAGTCTGTGGCTCAACCAATCGCAGGTGGTCTTAAGCTTCGGTGAGCGAGGGCGCAATGCGTGCATGGCGCAACCAGTGGCAGGCTGTTTGCAGCTGCGGCGCCGTATTGCGCAACCCATGGCGCAATCTCCCACGACGCAACCTATGGCACCACACGTGGCTCATCCCCCCACGGCACAACCCAACGAGAATTTCTGGCGCAACACATCGGGTACCGCATGGCGGAGTCATACCGCAAGCACTCTGGTCCTATACGTGGCGCAACCTATGCTCCAACCTATGGTGGTCAACGTGGCGCCGCCGCCTGTGGGAGCGGCAGGAGGGAGGGGAGAGGACAGATGAGGGAGGAAGAGGTGGAAATGGGAATGCAAGTCCGCAGATGAGGCAAGAACGAGAGGAAACAGGCCGGCCCAAGCCGCCAGAACCGTCCCAAGGAGGCTGGCCCCCAGCTCGCAGCTGCCACTGCCCCTCAGAGCTCGAGAAGCGTGCTCGTCCGTGGCCCCGGCGCGCGCGCCACGCTGCCTGTCCGCGGCAACAAGCTCGGCCCCGGACGCGCGAGGAGGTCCGCCGAAGTGGGCTCCCGCAGCCTGGAGAGCATCCACGCTCGGCACTGGCCGGTGCCCTATCCTCCTCCTCCTCCTCTCCTCCTCCTCCTCCTCCTCCTCCTCCTCCTCCTCCTCCTCCTCCTCCTCCTCCTCCTCCTCCTCCTCCTCCTCCCCCCCATGCCGCGCCCGAGAAGGTATTCCTCCTGGGCGCCGGCCTTCGCGAGGGCCGCCCTCTCTGGCCGTGCAACGTGGCCTCGAGTGTCCTGTGGCGCCCGCCTGCCAGGTTTGCTGCCAGGACCTGTGGTGGGCGGCCGGGAGCGATGGCCTCGGCATCCCTGAGTTGTGGTCTGAAGCAGGGATCTGGACCTCAACTCGGTCTTGCTGGAATTCGGCTGTGTTTCGTTCTTCGTTTCGGGAGGGAGGTACAGGAAAGAGCAGGTAGAGCAAAAGGAACCACGAGACGAACCCAGAACGAAAGACAGCGCTCAGGTCCAGCCCTGGTCTGAAGTTGCCCCGTCTCCCGTGCTGTCGCCTCCTGGGGCCCCGCTGCTGTCGAGCGCCGCGGGCCCAGCGCCGGTTTCGGCGCGCGCGCCGTTGTTGCGGCCGTCACCGGCGGCCAGTGCCACCTCGGTGCCGCGCTCCTACTACTCGCGCGGCCGGGCCTCCAGGCTGTCGCAATCCGTGGTGCCTGCGTCGGCCAGGGCCGCGTGGAGGTCCCCCCGGCCAACGTTCGGCCTCCTGGGCGGCGTCCTGCAGCGTTGGCGCGAGCTCCTCGGCCTCTGGAGGCACGTGCCGTGGCAGACTGCTCCTTGCTCGGCCCACGGGTGGCCCTCCCCGCCTGGCCGTCGGCACACGCGGCGTCCGCGAGGACCTCTGCGGTGACCGGGGCCGCCAACTCCAGAGGACCCCCGGGATGGCAGATGCGCCCGCCTGTCGCCCGGAGATGCCCCTGGCTCGCGCGGTGGCCGAAGAGGTCGAGGTGTCGCAGGGCCGCGCGCGGAAGTGCGAAGCTGGCGAAGTCGCCGCCGTCACGGCCGAGCTGCCCGGGGCCCATCGCCAGCGGCACAGCTGCAGTTGCACCAGCAGCGGCTTGGGGCTCGCCCCAGCGGTCCACCCCGCCCAGCGGATGCTCAGAATCAAGGGCGGCAAACCACCCGGACTCGATCATTGGCGTTGATGAAACGGCGCTGGGCGTCTATTAAACAGCCCTCCGTGTTCGATTCCTTCTGTGGGTGCGTTGACTGAACGACTTCGCGTGTCGGGGGCATTCTGAAGGGGGTGGATCTTCTGCCCTCCGCAGAAGGCGCTCGGCGAACACGGAGCCGCCTCGTTGAAGAACATGCCCTCGAATCGCGCCCCGACCGGGCCGATGCCATCGGTGGCCCTCGAGCTCCTGGAAGCTTGTCCCGCTCCAGAGGCGCTGAGGCTTGGGGGCCATGGCTGTCTCGCGCGGCGCCAGGCGAGCCCTCGCCATCAGAAGCGGGGATGCAGCGGTCTGGAGGGAGGGAGGAGGGAGGGAGCGGAGAGAAAGGAGGGAGACGGGTGAACAGAGGACGGACCGGGGGAAGGGGGGGAAAGGGACGTGCGATGCTGGTTAAGGCGAGGGCGGGGAGCGGGGAGGACGAGGGAGGGTGGAGGAGGCAGGAGGGACGACCTCCGTGGGACTACCTTGCGAAGAGCCTTGGTGCTACCAATAGCACCCTCCCAACTGCCAGGGGCCACACTCACGTTAAAACCTTGCTGCGCGAAAATGCCAGCGTCTTGACCTACCCCAGTGGGCAGGCGCCACATTTCCCAAGACGGTGCACCTAGACAGCAGCAGAATCGCAAGGACTTCCAATGAGCTCCCGAACGGAAGCGAACAGGCTGCGTGCATCAGGAGGGAAACAAACAGTGGCAAGCGGACCTCCCAAACCTCAACCATACGACTGCACACATCACCGCGCGGCGCTCCTCGCTCCAACGCACCTGCGCTGCGCTCCTCCCCGTCGCACCAGCGCCCCTGCGTCGGAGCTTTGTCCTCAGATACGTACCGGCACGACACAACGGTCGTGCCGCCTCATTAAGCCACCCGAGGGGCAGGAGGAGGACGGCGACGACGACGGAATCAAAGATCAAAGACGAAGGCGCGGACGCCGACGGAGCCCAAACGCCATCGTGCTTTCTCACATGCGTGCTCGGGGCTACGCCCGATATTTGATCGTTCTTTGGGCTGCAGGGAGGTGGCCACCTGACGATCCAAAAACTCGAAGGGCTCATAGACAGAATCGGTCTGGGCCACGGCCACTGGGACCACCAGACGTGTCCGTGCGCCCCGGCCAGATGGCAGCTCTCATTCTTTGCAGATTAATTATCCGCCCCGACCTATCGGACAAGAGGGGGAGAAGAGGAGGGGAGGGTTGGGGGACGGGGTCTGGAAGGAGGAGAAGAGGAGGAGAGGAGGAGGGGAGGATGGAGTAGAGGAGGAGAGGAGGAGAAAGGAGGAGGGGAGGAGGAGAGGAGGAGGGGAGGATTGGGGGGAGGTGTCTGGGGCAGTTTGAAGCTTGGGGTGATCGGAGCTCCAGAACAGTTCGCGGGCCCCCCTTTGGGTGGGAGTCGATGCTGGCGTGTCGGTGCGCAGGGGCCAGGGTCAGCTCTGCCACGTCGGTGCGCCAGGAAGGGGTGCTGTTCTTGGCATGCATGGGCGGGCGTTCGCTGCGGGGTCAACTCTGAGCTCTCGGCGTGGGTGGCGTCCGCCTGCCAGGAGGGCAAGAACACACACAGACACAATTAATCGTTGACCCCCAGGAACTATGGGGAAACATGGACAGTGGGGGGAAAGACGAATAACCGGAACATGTGCAAACATAGGGGGAGTCTTGGGATTTGTGTTTACTTGTTTGTGTGTGCCCGTGCCCTTTCAACTTGGCTATTAGTGCTGCGTAGTGTCTTCGCTTCCCAGGTTCCTGCTCATGCGGCCAGCGCTGGCGCGGCTGCAGGACAAGCCCCGGGAGGAGTGGCTGGTGGTGTCGCAGCAGCCTGGCGCGCCGGGCCCCGGGCAGAAGGGGCAGGATGCCCCAAGGCCAGGGGGCAACGACAGGGGGGATAGGCTCAAGTCGGGCATGAGCCTCTAAAGGAGTGATGTTCAAGAATTGTCAAAAAAACATCTAATGGGGACGAATTTTCTACTAGTATATTTTATTATGGTTTGAATATGTTTCGATTTCTGTCCCTCTAGAATCCGCCTGTAGGAGGACATGCCCGACCTAACGAGAAGGGGGGGCTAGGCTCAGGGGGGACGCATCGACCCCCAACCGCCCACTGATCGCCGATAGGGACCCGATGGTCCCACCCCGCAAAGGAAGGTGCGGATCCGCTGTCGATCCATCGACGACGCATCGCCGATGTCGGGTCGATGCGGCTCCCACCTGTGCCAGTCCCCCGCTGTCGCTGCCCCCCACGAGGGGAGGGGGCGCTCCCGACGGGTCGGGCGACCCGAAGGGATCCAAGGCGCCGGGGCTGCCAGCGGCGCCAGGGGTCCCAGGCGACAAGAGGACGCAGGCGACCGAAGACCACAGCCGTGTCCAGACGCCAGGCGCGAGGCGGGCCAAGGCGGCAGAGGCGGGCAAGTAGACGGGGGCAACGGCCGCAGCTTCCCGCGGCAGCCGCAGGGCCGCTCGGTGCCAAGTCAGGGGAGCCTGGCGCGCCCTCTCAATTCCGTCTCCAGCGCCGACTGGCGTCGAGGTAGCGTCTGGGGGAGTCGAAGAGACAGCACCGATTTAGCGTCAGCTCGCGTCGATGGATGTCGACTTAGCGCCGATTCAGCGTCGGTGAGCGTCGATTCGCAGGAGCCGGCGAGATGGCACGGGAGGCTCCCGTGAGGTGCCACCGAAGGGGAGAGGCGGGCAAGCAGTAGACGCGGGCGGTGCCCGCAGCCCCCCCCCGCCGCAGCAGCGGGGCAGGGGCAAGAGGTGGTGAGCCATGCCGGCCAGCTCCGTGCGCTGCGCTGCGCCTCCCGCGGCTGCGGAGACGGGCCAACGGCGATGTGGGCAACGGCGACGTTCGGAGGAGGAGCAGGTGCCCCTACCGCTACGCTTCCCTCGTGTTCGCCCGCTTTTTTGCCTCCTGGGGGGCCCTCGTTGCCACCGCCGGACTCGCTGCAAACTCCTGGCCAGAGCACGCCCCGGGAGAGGTCCGGGGGAGCAGCGGTGTCAGTACCTGTTGGTTTCCCCAGGCGTGGGCCTCGGTGTCCGTGGGAGCGCGCGGCTCGCGCTTTTTTCCTGCATCTTCGCCGTGTATCGTGCTCGCT